AGCCATCAGATCAGTCATGCCTTCTGCCTAGTTTGTTATCTTTTCCCACTACATTTGATGATTTTTTTTTCTAGCTTTCATGGCATATGTTGAAGTAACTAGTCCATGTTACTTCCTTAAAGACGTGATTTATTTTCCTCTGGCTGTTTTAAATATTTTCTCATTAACTTCAATTTTCAGCAATTCCACCAAAATGTAGTCTAAGTGTTTTCCTTTGTGTTCATCTATCTTTAATTTGTGGGATTTCTTTTTCTTTCTTTCTTGTTTTTCATTTATTTTTTTGGCACTGGGGATTGAACTCAGGACTTTGTGCTTACTAGGCAGGCTGTTATGGTTTGTGTATAGATGTCCCCCCAAAGCCCCAAGTAGTCTTGAGGGTCTTCTGGAATTCATGATTATAGTGGGTGTGGATGCTGCACCTGCCCTGGGGCAGGTCATTTGCATTACAATGTGAGGTGGGTTGAGAAGCTAGCTGCTGGAGCTGCTGCTATTCCTCCTTTTGTGCTCTTGCTCTTTGCTGCCACCATGAAAAGTTGTTTTCTGCTTTGTGCAGCTCTGCCTTAGAGCCAGCTGAATATGGACAGAAACCTTCAGTAACTGTGAGCTAAATAAACCTTTCCTTCCTTCAGTTTAGGTATTGGGTATTTGTCCTAGCGATGAGAGAAGAGTAACTAAGACAGGCATTTATGCCTCTGGGCTATCTCCTCAGCCTTTGTGGGATTTCTTGACTCTATATAATTGTCTATCAGTTGTGGAAAGATCCTGATTATTATTTCTTCCAAAATTACTTCTATTCAGCCGGGGAGATGGCTCAGTGGAATAAACACTTCCCTGGCAAGTGCAAGGGCCTGAGTTCAATCCTTGGTTCCGGAAAACAAAAACAAAAACAAAATTATTTCTATTCAACTTGTTCCCTTTTATCTCTGTGATTTCATTTATACATTACAATTATTATAACTCTAACTGCATTTTACATGTATCTTGTTTCATATATTTCTGTCTGATATTATATTATTGTATTTTGTTGTTACAGGGTCTTACTACACAGATCAGACTCATAGTGATCCTCCTGTTTTCAGACTCCCCAGCGCTGGGATTACAGGTGTACACCACTGTGCCCGGACTCTGTGGCCAGCTCAGCCCACCTTGGGGATGGTGCTGGCATGGCATGTGGTGCCAGGGATAGAACTGCAGTCCCCGTACTTGCCCAAGTTTGCCTAAGCAGGCACTTTAGTCTGCTGAGCTATCTTGCTGGCCCTGTCTGATATTATTGATTGATTCATTTCCAATTCAATAATTATATCTTCTGCCATATCCAAACTGATGTTAATCCATCCACTGAGGTCTAACTTTAACATGTTTTATTTTTCAATTCTAGAAAAACATTTTCAGTCTTTATAAAATCTTTTTAAATTTTTATTTTATTTTTTTCTTCCCATTGATTCCTTTTTAAAAAATTAATTTTATTTTATTTTTAAGAGTAAAAACAAGCAGAAATAAATAGAAAAAATGACTGAAACAGGGTACCATACAACAATACATATGTTACAGATTTTCAAAATAGAAATAGCTAATGAGCAATGGCTGTTACATTATCTATTTTTATCATCGAATCTGTTGTTCAGATTAACAGATATATTATAGAAGATTGGACAAATAATTGAATATTAATACTTTTTCAAGAAATCTTTTTTCTTGTCTTTTAAAGAACTATTTTAAAGAGAGTATAACAATTGATAAGACATTAGAAACAGTACTCATTTAGAAGACCAAGATGAGAGGTATTCAACCGTGGGTTTTGTATTACTCATTGCTGTCCTCGACATAGTTGCTCAGATCACAGATATCAGCATACAGAGTTAGTCAAGGTGAAAATTTTAAACATTAACTGCTATTTTCAAAAAACTGGTGGAAATTATTAGTACAATCACCTCAGCCATCCTGTATATATACTTGCATGATTTCCCCCCTTCCTTTTTTTGTATCTTTTCTCCTTTCATCTTCATTGTGTTTAATCCTTAAGTTCAGTTTCTTTCTTTTTTATTATATCTATTGAAGGTTATCTTTCAGGTTTTATTTATTCTGTCAGGTTCTTACGCTAGGGAGATGATATAATATTTACACACGTGGGTCTGATTTATTTCACTTATGAGTAGAGCCTCTAGTTGCATCCAGTTACCTATAAAGACTTTGAGTTTGTCTTTCTTTATAGCTGAGTAGTACTCTGTTGTATAAAAACACCATGTCTTTTTCATTCATTCCTCAAGTGATAGACATTTTGGTTGTTTCCAAGATTTGGCTGACAAATTGTGCTGCTATAAATATGGGTGCACAGGCCAACAATTTCTGACATTGCCAGTCAAGCGGAAGACCCAATACTATTATGGGCTACTGGACTCTTGTAGAATATTTTGCTGTTTATACACTTATAATATTTAAATAACGGAACTTAACCAAAAAGGGGATACAGATGAATGTCTATTTTGTATCTGTGTATTTAAAGTGGTTAGGATAGATACATAGTTACATTCTCTTAATGAATAGAGGGATTTGTTCTAATGGTCTTTGTAAATAGAATATCATGTCTGCATCTTGTACAGCAATTAACCAGTAGGAAGAATGTATGCAATGTGTTAATTACTGAAACTGTCCTACCAATTTGGTTTGAAACTGTCTCATTGCTATTTGTTTCTCAATAAAATTATGGAAAAAAAATGGGTGCACATACATCACTATGGTATGATGTTTTCAGTTCTTTTGGAAACATACCCAGAAAGGGAATAGCTGGATTGAATGAGATTTCCAGTCTAGCTTTTTTTTTTTTTTTTTGGAGTCTCCACACTGATTTCCATCATGGTTGTGCCAGTCTACATTCCCACCAGAAGTGGAAAAAGGTCCTTTGTCCCCAAAGCCTCTCCAGCATTTGTTATTAGTTGATTTCTTTATGAAAGCCACTCTGTCTGGGGTGAGATGGTATCTCATTTCTCAAATGGCCAGTGCTGTGGAACATTTTTTCATGTATTTATTTGTCAATTGTATTTCTTCCTCTAAGAAGTGTATATTCATCTCACATGTCCATTTTTGGTTTGGGTCTTTAAATTTTGGGGGCCAAATTAGTCTTTTTATAAATTCTAATCCTCTGGTGAAATTCGCAATATTTTAATTTATTTTATATATCTCTTTATTTGATCTTATTATTATGTATTTAGTACAGGGGCTACAGGGTCTACAGGGTCTCACTACATAGATCTGACTTGCAATGATCCTCCTGTTTACAGCCTCCCAAGTGCTGGGATTACAGGCATGCGCCACCCATGCCCGGTCTCAATCCTCAGTCTCAGCACGCCCTGGAGGTGGGGCCGGCACTGCAGGCCCTGGGGATCAAACCCCAGCCTCTGTGTCTGCCTAAGCAGGTGCTTTAATCTGCTGAGCTATCTGGCCGGCCCTCTCTCTATTTTATTGTCTGTATTAACAACGGATATTTTAAAGTTCTGGTTTGCTAACATTACCTATGCATTTGTCTGTCTGTCTATCTATCTATCTATCTATCTATCTATCTATCTATCATGTGAGAGAGGACATTCTCATCTTGTTCCTTTCTAGCTCCTTCATTAAGTATGATGTAGGCTTTTTAGCATGATATCGACAGACTTCATTCACATTGAAAGTACCTCTTTTGCCAAATATCTTTTCATTACCTGTAGGTAGGTACATATAATTTTCCTTTATGATCTGTTAATGAGGTGAGTCATATTACTACATTTTCTAATTCTGAAGAGACCTAGTTTTGGGATAAAAAGCACAATTGATAATGATATATTATTCTTTTATTGTATTGTTGCATTTGTGCCTAGTATTTTATTTATTTTTCATATTGGTATTTAGAAATCAGATTAGTCTTTGGTTTTATTATTTTTCTCTGCTATATTTGTTATATTTTGGCATCACTGGCTTGAGCTCCCTAAAATGAATGTTTTCTTCCCCCAGCCCCCATACTCTCTAACAATTTAATAAGCTTCAAATCAGTTTCTTGAAATTTCTCACAAAAAATGCATTTTCAACGTTGGAATGGTTGGTGACACATAAAGGCAACCTCGAAAACCTTCTGGGATGAGACAGAGAGCTAAAACAGATAACAGACATGCACTTGCATGTGAGGTAAAGGCAGTGTTTCACACCAAGTAGGGTGTACCCACCTGTAATCCCAGCACCCTGAGAGGTTGGGCAGGAAGATCACAAATTCAAGCCCAGCTGGGAAACTTAGTGACTTAAAGTGACGCTGTCTCAAAAAAAGCTTGTGTTGGGGAAGTAGCTCAGTGTGAAGGCTATGGGTTCACTTCCAAGTACTGGAAAAAAAAAAAAAAAAAAAAGAAAAGAAAAAAAAAAAAGAAAAGAAAGGAAAAATAAAAGGTATGTTTTAGCTACAATGCAGATCATGTCAAAGGTGCATGGTCAGGATGTGGCTTGTGGATGGCTGGTGTGATACCTTATGGAACAAGCTTTTTAAAGACAGGGACCTACCAGACACTGTTCAGCATCACAGTTCATTTCATGGCCCCAAGATAGACAAGTTTGAGTTTCCTCCTCTGAGCTACTATTTTTCCATTTGCAAAATGAGAATACCAATGGTAAAACTTATATTTAACAGTTGCCAAGAGGGCTAAATGAGATGAGATAGTTTATGTAAATTTCTCCCTAAGAACTATTTTGGGGAGGACCAATAAACTCTGCTCATTTATATCATTATGATTATTACTTTTTTTTCCCAACAAGTAGAAACCATTTTCTCCATGACTATCAAAGCAATACATCTCTATTGCAAAACTGCAGCAATACAAGCCCAGCCAAACAAAATCCCATAAACCAATTAGACTATCTAAATAAAGTAAGTCTATATACAATGCGATAGCCCCATTTTCTCACATAATATCACATTAGGGTGAGAGTATTAACTGATTTCATTGACAGTATTAACTACTACGATTAGAGGAACACTTCACCTTGCTGTTATCATGAGTTCGTTTTCGGAGGCCTTAGGCCGCATCCAGGCATAGATGTTCATTGTGAACAGGGCACTGATGCTGTTGAAAGCGGAAGTCAGGGAGGAAATGATGGCGGCGCATACTGTGGACAACATCACTCCCTGTAGGCCTGGAGGAGAAAGAATGCGTAGTGAGCCTTCGGCTCTTTGACCATGCTGGATGGACCTTTTCCAAATACTAAATCTTCTCCTATGAAACATTCACATTTTACACCAAGTAGAATTCCACCTAAGACAGAGTCTTGCATTATATCTTTTCTTGCCTTGTAACGAGGCTTAATAGTTTCCTCCTGTATTTTCCTATAATAATAGGAGCTAATATCTCTTGTGTGGTTAATCTGTCTCTTCAGACATCAGCCTGTACCATCTGTTGTACGGTGCTATGAGATGGATGCCACTGGTTTCCTGTTTTACGTGGGAAAAGTAAGAGCTTCAGAGAAGGTTTAGACCAGACAAAGCAGTGTGCTTCCCAGTGCCTCAGTGCCCTCATCCGTAGGCACATAGTATCTACCCCATTTGGTTGCTTTTAATATTAGAATATATTTAAGTAGACCATTTGTAGAGGGAGTTTGTCACAGTGCTCAGTGTAGAGCAAGAAGTCCAAGAGATGCTAATTACAAGCAATAACCTAAGCTGGTGTTACTACTTGGAAAACCATGTGAGAGGCAGATATAGACCAAGGACCTAGGATTTGCGTTCGTTCAACTGCCAACTCTTACTTGCTTCCTTGGCTATTTGAGGCTGTGGTATTTCTGGAGGCTTAGGTGGGGAGTCCAGATATCTCACTTTCTGAACTGTAGGATGGTTAGTTTTCACTCAATCTGATTCCATCTATAGTGTATTTTATGGAAATGTCTCAGCTTTTCCAACCTATTGTCCTCCAGAACTAACACAGGATTAAAAAAAAAATATTCATTTGGCCATTTTGGTAGAATCTGGGGAGAAAGGTGTGATAAATGTGTGAAATCATTATCATCCCAAAAGGTCACCTGACTGTTGGGTAATCGCTAATCTTCTTTGCCTCTCTTGCTTCCTGTGAGCCCGTGGAGTGAAGGAGTAGTTTTACTCATCTTTGTGTTTTTTTTTTTTTTTCATGTCTTAGAACAATGCCTTACACAATGTAGATTCTATTTTTTGAGTGAATGAGCAAGGGAGCCAGCTCATCAGGTGACATAAATAATGCAAAAGATGTATGTGGATTGTGCCTCTGAGAAGATACGCATTACCAGTGTACAAGGAGGAAAGAGAGGAGGACCCGATCGATCCTTTTGACATGGCAAGCAAAGCTGCCCTGCATGGTGCAAGCGTCCCTCCCACGCAGCAGCCTGTATTTCCATTCAGAATGATGGGCTAGCTGATAAGAAGGCACCCTGAGCATCCCACTCCTAACTGGTGACTTATAGACCGAGGGCCCAGGCTCCAGTGGGGATTCTATGGCTCTCAGCAGAAGGGCCTATTTCTTACCAATAGGTAGTAGCGATACCACCAGCCTTGGATAAGCGACAGGGTAACAACTGCTTTGAGCACCGCAGTACTTTTCACATTCTGAAGGTACAACACAGGCCACTTGGTCTGCAAAAAGAAGTAGCTGTCACATCAAGTCACATCAACACACTGGTCTTAGAGCTCTGACATGAGCTGGGATAAGAGAAGGAATTCACATGTATGTGTTAGATTTTTAGTCCACTGAAGGCTGCTTCAATTCATGATTTTCACATTCTCAGGAGCTGGTGGTAGAGGAAGGGATTAGGGCTTAGGCTCCTAGCAGTCGAATGGGTTACCCAAGGCAGGTCCTGGGTCCTCAGTAAGCCTTCCAGTGACTCTAGTTAAGCATTAGGAAAGCCAGAGGATTATTTGTTCTATGCTAACATGTGAGATACTCATAACCTTACTCCCTTGGACATGATCGGGTTACTAATTTGGAGTAATTAGTTAGTTGGGACTCTAGTTCTTAGCAGAGGGGCCTATTTTCCAATTTGCAGGGAACTATCAGCCATGAGAAAGTAACAAAGCTCTCCTTAACAGCTGAAGAGTAAGTTGGGGAATGTTAAACTAGTCTCAGTTAAAGCTGGAAAGAAATTAGGAAAGAAAAGGGGGCATGCCAGAGGAGCAGATTGAAGGAGGGGTTAGTGTTAGTGATACCCACTGCACATATTTCTTAGCACTGTAAAGCACTCTAGATTTTATTTGCTTTTGTCAAAGCCCAACAGCAAGAGACTCTCCCAGAAGCACCTGCTCTGTCTGCCCCTGTGGCTACACCTACTAAAGTGCTCCATCAGATTTAATGAATAAACAGAGCTGTTACCCTGAGAGACACAACAATCTAGTAAGACTGAGCTAGTAAAGCTAGATAGTTGAAATGGTGATGGGAGACAGCCATGGAGTTATAACTCATTAGGGAAAGCCCAAATGCTTTAATAGTATTTAATGCGGGCCTTGCTTGGAATCAGGCTCCCTTTGGCAGGTGCATGGAGCTCCCTCCAGGGTGCCTGGGGCTGTGAGAAGCAGTAACAAGATCTGTTCTATCCTCTCACAGTGCTTGGCACACGCAGCATGCCCAGGAGGATTCTGCTGATGTGATGGGAGCATCTCAGTCTTTCCAGCAGACTCTGCCCCAGTGTCATGGCTGAGCCCCTGATAGAGAAAAGGAAACTCTGACACAGGAGAGGAGGCCCTGGCCTGGCTCTCTCCTGCCCGAGCTTATCACCTTGCACAGCATTTCTGTCTTGTATATACATCGGTAGTTTTTGCTAGACTTCTTCTTCTTCTTTTTTTAAATTTTAGGACATGGTCTACAGGGTCTCACTACACAGATCAGACTTGTAGTGATTCTCCTGTTTTCAGCCAAGCGCTAGGATTACAGGCGCGTGCCACCATGACCAGTCTCAATCGCCCTCTCAGCATGCCGTCTGGTGGGGCCAGCATGGCACAGCAGGGATCGAACCCCAGCTTCTGTGTTCTGCATAAGCAGGCACTTTAATCCTCTGAACTATCTGGCCTGCTCTCTGCTAGACCTCTGCTAAGAAACATTCTGGGCTACTCCAATGACCGGTATACTACGGGAGACCTGATCAGTCCCAGTGTCTATAAAGAGAAGCAGCTGACTGGCGTGAACCCATTAGAATCAACAATTCACCTGGGTAAAAAGTGCGGCTGATCATTCCTGGTATCACCATGAGGAACATGGGCAACAGCTTCAGGTACCCGTACATAATGAAGCCAACTCTCATGTGAGATTTGTTCTTCCCGGCCAGGCTCCGCTGGACAGAAACCTGCCAGAAAGCACAGGTGGGCGGAGTGAGTGATGGTCATACCAGGGTGTATAAAGCCTGGGCCACCTCAGCACGGGTGGGCCAACTGTGGCCTGCAGCAGCAGCAGCAGCAGCAGCAGCAGCACCAGGATGTGCCCTCTAATGGGTGTTTGCTAAGCTGCTCACCAGCTGCTCCCGGTCCAGACATCTCTGGGCCTTTCAGGGCTGGGGAGACACAGGTGAACAATGAACACATTTTGTGTACTACATAGCTACCAGAGGGGACGGGGTACCTAGGATATTGGCATCATTGCCAGAGCTGAGCACCAGTCCTGGCAGTGCTTGGCATACCAGCTGCTCTCCAGCTAGGAGAAAACTCCCTCGTGAAGGCTGGAGATGGTTTCTGCCAGAAAGAATGAAGAAGCCTGTGTGACATCAAAGTAAAGATGGGCCCCTGGCAATAAAGAGTGCTCAAGGCAAGGGACCAACGTCATTTATCTACATTAAACAAAGATAGCCTTTGCAAACACAAGCTTTCCTAGGAGATGTTTCAGGACCCATTTCCTGGTGTCAGTGCTGTCAGAGGTACCATACTGTCAGGTGGAAGGCAATGGTGTAGCAAGAAAACGGAAAAGTTATTAGGAGAAAGAAACAAACCACCACCACCACCACCACTGCAAGAAAAAAACCAAACAACAACAAAATGTTAAGAGGACCAGCCTGATAGCTCAGCAGGCTAAAGCGCCTGCTTTGGCAGAGCGTAGTGGCCGGGGTTCGATCCCTGGCAGTGCCGTGCAGGCCTCTCCCCTGGGGTGCACTGAGACAGCGATTGAGCCTGGGCGTGGTGGGCGCACACCTGTAATCCCGGCCTTTGGGAAGCTGAAAACAGGAGAATCACTATGAGTCCAGTCTGTGTAGTGAGACCCTGTACACCCTGTCCTGAGTACAGAAAAAAGAAAGTGTTGAGAACATCAAAACAATGCGCTAAATATATGCCCTTAAATAATCAAATAAAAAATGCCCAGAGTGACTGAAAGGCAAAAGATGATAAGGCATAGTATCTACATTATGATTTTATGCTTACAAAAAAGCCCATAGGAATAAACAGACATGATGATAGTGATTAATCCTAGGGCGAGAGGATTAGCAGATTGGGTTTTTCTTTTCTTCTTTACCTTCCAAATGCATTCTTTTAATAGCAGAAAGAAAAACCCAAACAGACCCTATACCATAAAAGGTGCTGATTTTTGGGAAGTCTACTGCCAGCCTGCTGCTGGTCACTGAATGGAGAGAGGCCGCTCCTGAGCAGGTGGTGGACGCACGTGGCTCTGCTTCTGGTCTTGGCTTAAACCTGGGTATAGAAAAGGTGGCATCTTATGGAGCAGATGAAGTAGTGGGGCTAAGGCAAAAATAGGACTTTTACTTTGAGGAAAATGTGACAATAAGGACATTAAATCATTCTATGTAGAAAGTCCTAAACAGTTTACATATTGTCGGATGCTACAAAGTGGGGCAAGGAAAGGGTTATTGTTTACAAGTGTGAGACTCCAAACTATTCATCACCAGTTGATTAGCTTCTTTTGTAATTAAAAATGTTTATTAGGGTTGTGGAGGGAGCTCAATGGAGAGGGCCTTGTCTAGTACATTTAAAGCCCAAATGTTATGGCTTGTATCTAAATGTCCCCCCAGCTGGCAATCCATTTTCCAAGTCCCCTCCTGTCCCTCTCAGGAGCTGTCTCTCCCTCAATAAAATTTCCTGCTCTTAAAAAAATACCCCGTCCTCAAGTCTCATGTGCTCATGCATGGGGGCTTTTGGGAACTAGCTGGATCTAGGGTATGTGATCCTGGGATTGAGGATGTATGGCACTAAATTAGTCCCTCGGTGGATTTAGCATGTTACCAGCTTTCTATTACTGTACCAAATACCTATATTAGTTGAATTAAAAAGGAAAGGTTTCTTTTGGCTCACAGCCCTGGAGGTTTCTGTGTAGGCTCAGTTGGCCTATAGCTTTGGGGCCTGTGGTGAGGCAGCGTACCATGGTAGGAGTGCATGGTGGATGGGGCTGTGTACCTCCTAACTGCGAGGAAGCTACGGAAAGAGGAAGAGGACCCGGGCTCGAGTGTCCAGGCATGTCTCAGTGAACTTTTCCACTGGGCCCCACTGCCTGTGATTTCTGTACTTCAGAGCCCGGCTGCAGCAGTAAGGTGGGGTGAAGTTTTGTTACTCGAAAAGTAACTTGGTTTTTCTAATTTCACTGCAGAGTTAGTCACCCTCATTGACTTGTGGAGCCTCAGAAGTACTTGAGTCTGTTTCTGTACCTTTTATTTTCTTTTATCAGCCTGTCTATTCTTGACAATATAAATTTTTAAAAATGTTGCTGCTCAGGCCAGCCAAATAGCTCAGTGGATTAAAACATTTGCAAGCAGGCTCAAGGGCCAGGGGTTTGATCCCGTGGCTTGCCGTGCCGGCCCCACTCCTGGGGTGCACTGAGATGGTGATTGAGACTGAACATGGTGGCGCATGCACCTGTAATCCCAGCTCTTGGGAGGCTGTAAACAGGCCGATCACTATGAGTCTGATCTAGTAATGAGACCCTGAACACCCTGTAGACTCTTCCCTAAAAAAAAAAATACAAAAGAAAAACAAAACAAAACAAAACAAAACTTGTACTTGATATAAATATTTTTAGGCCAAGTTTGCCCCTTTTGCTCTTCATGTTTAAACTTGGATTAGCTATTTGGCATGTTTCTCTTCCACATAATGTTTAAACCCAATTTGTGGTGGTACAGGACAGGAAAGTACACTAAAAATACACAGTATAAAAATACACAGCACATTAGAGAGCATACAATATAACCACCTTTCCAACCAAGAAATGGGACACTGTATCCTGCCACAGAAGTTTCCCCATAACTTTTAAAAAATTAAGGCAAAATTCTCATAAAACACAATTAGCCTTTTTAAAGCAAAGCATTTAATGCATTCACAGGGTTGTAAATCACTATCTCTCTTTAGTTTCAAAACATTTTCATTTTCCCAGAAGAATACCCATATCCATTAAGTAATCATTCTCCATTATTCCTTCCCTTCCCTCCTGGCAAGCGCTAATGCAATTTCCATCTCTATGGATTTGCTTATTTTTGATATTTTTATATAAAACGAATCATCTGATAGGTGACCTTTGTTTCTGGTTTCTTACACTTAACAGAGCATTTTCTAGATTCATCCATGTTGTGATATGCTGTGGGAGTACGTCACTGTTTCTGATGGCTGGATAATATTCCAACATATAGATACGCGTTTTGTTTACCCATTCAATCACTGATGGGCATCTGGGTTATTTCCATGTTTGGTTGCCAGGGATAGTGCTGCTACTCATAGCTTGTTTTAACTTTAAACCCTTCCCACATGCTAGCAATGACTGCTTTGGTGGATATTTCATTTCTTCCTTGCTTTTAAAAAGTAACTGTGTCACCTAGTTTAGTATTGTGCATGTGCTGAATTTTACACAAATGTAACTGGGTAGCTCATAACCTTTTATGTCTAGCTTCCTTCCGCCAACATCCCGCTCTGGAGATTTAGCTATGTGGGATAGAGTTGTGCAGTTGGCTCTCTGTCTACAAATTCTGCTTCTGGAGATTCAACTGATCATGGACAGAAAGTACTTGCTGTATCAAACAAATGCATCCTTTTTCCTTGTCACTATAATCTTTTTGTTTTACTAACCACTTCTACTTTTTGACATCATTAATCTCCTCCATGGTCTTTACTGTGGTATTTCTTCCTGAAGATCTCTCTCTTTTTTTCCTCTTTTTGTGTTGGTGGCTATTTACCCAGCTTCTGGGTTTGAATGTTTAGCTCATTATCATTGACCTGTTAGGCCTCTTGAAATGCTCATTTAACATGCTGCTTGGAATTTGTGCTGAAAATGGGCATGTAGTGTTTAGACTGGCATTAAGTTTTAAAGTAGAATATGCTATGAATGATTTTTCTAACCCACAAGCTATTTAACAACCTGCCAATAACTTTTCAGATTTGAGATTTAAAAGCTATCACTTTATTATTTTCTTCTCCTGTATTAGTCTGAACACAGTTTATGGGATATCGATCCTCACTCATGTAAGAGCGCTGCTTTTACATCTTAATTGTGGTCAGGGCTTGTAAGTTTCCTTGAAAAGCATGCTTCCTTTCTGTCTGCAAGACAGAGAACTTTGAACAACTAAGATGTACACATTCCTGTCACTTACGACTAAGTCTGTTAGCTGCACAGATTAGTTCTGGATCACCCTCACTTTTGCCTACCTGACTATTTTGTTTCTGGAAAACAGCGCTAAAATAGAATCTCCATTTACAGCTCATCCTTTATATTTCATTATATGTTAAAATTCAATTTGGCGCAATGAGAAAAGACAAGCAAACAGCTCAAGAACAAGAATGAAATGAATAAACCCTTCATTATTCGTAGATGATATACAGCTACGACTATTTTAGGTTAGAGGGTTTATATCTAGCAACCTTACCTATCTCATTAATTCCAGTAGTTTAATGTAAATAGACAGAGTGATTTATAATCCTGTGAATGCATTAAATGCTTCACTTTAAAAAGGCTAATTGCATCTTCTGAGAATTTTGCCTTAACTTTACAAAATGTTGTGGGGAAACTTCTGTGACAGGATACAATGTCTCCTTCCTTCCTTCCTTCCTTCCTTCCTTCCTTCCTTCCTTCCTTCCTTCCTTTTTCCTTCTCTTTCTTTCTTTCTTTCTTTCTTTCTTTCTTTCTTTCTTTCTTTCTTTCTTTCTTTCTTTCTTTCTTTCTTTCTTTCTTTCT